GTTCAATCCCCGGCATCTCCAGTTAAAAGGACCAGGCAGGAGGTGACGGGAAAGACCTCCGCCTGAGACCCTGGAGAGCTGTAAAGAGGGGCTGTGGCTCAGTGGTAGAGCATCTGCTTAGCATGCAGAAGGTCCCAAGTTCAATCCCCGGCATCTCCAGTTAGAAGGACCAGGCAGGAGGTGATGGGAAAGACCCTGACCTGAGACCCTGGCTCAGTGGCAGAGCCTCTGCTTGGCATGCAGAAGGTCCCAGGTTCAATCCCCTGCATCTCCAGTTGAAAGGACAAGGCAGCAGGTGATGGGAAAGACCTCCACCTGACACATGGAGACCTGCAAAGAGGGGATGTGGCTCAGTGCTTGGCATGCAGGAGGTCCCAGGTTCAATCCCTGGCATCTCCAGTTGAAAGGACCAGGCAGGAGGTGATGGGAAAGACCTTGACCAGAGACCCTGGCTCAGTGGCAGAGCCTCTGCTTGGCATGCAGAAAGTCCCAGGTTCAATCCCCGGCATCTCCAGTCAAAAGGACCAGGCAGGAGGTGATGGGAAAGACCCTGACCTGAGACCCTGGCTCAGTGGCAGAGCCTCTGCTTGGCATGCAGAAGGTCCCAGGTTTAGTCCCCCCCTCCGGCATCTCCAGTTAGAAAGGACCGGGCAGGAGGTGATGGGAAAGACCTTGACCCGAGACCCTGGCTCAGTGGCAGAGCCTCTGCTTGGCATGCAGAAAGTCCCAGGTTCAATCCCCGGCATCTCCAGTTGAAAGGACCAGGCAGGAGGCGATGGGAAAGACCTTCTGCCTGAGACCCTGGAGAGCAGCTGCCAGTCTGAGCGGACAATACTGACTTTCATGGACTGATTCAGTAGAAGGCAGCTTCACGTGTGCTTCAAGTCGATTTGTTAACGAAGGCTTTTCCATAACTCTCCTGCCTGACTCTAAATTTGTGGCTCACCCGCCTGAAGTGAGCAGGAACTAATGACGGAGGCTTTAACGCCTGGGTAGAGAAAAGACATGCTGGAACCTGGACTTAGACCCTCCCTGCCGCTCTCTTGTTTTTAAGGATCAAACAACAAGTTTGAACAGAGGAGACTGAAGTGAGACTGCGAGAGAACAATCAAGTACGGTTTATTTGAGGGGAATGGGGGTAGGGCTTGCAGTCCGAATAATATTTGAGGGTGTTACAGAGACAAGAGTCCCTGGGAAAGAAGAAGAATTGGATTTATATCCCACTCTTCACTACCCAAAGGAGTCTCAGAGCAGCTTACAATCTCCTCCCCCTCCCCACAACAGACGCCCTTGTGAGGTCGGTGGGCTTGAGAGAGTTCTGACAGAAACTGCTCTTTTTCAAGGACAGCTCTGACAGAACTACGGCTTGCCCAAGGTCATCCAGCCAGGTGCAAGTGGAGGAGTGGGGAATCAAACCCGGTTCTCCCAGATCAGAGTCCGCGCACTTAACCACTACACCAAACTGGCTGGAAGGGAGGGAGTTGGTCTATCCTACTGTGCACGGAGCAGCCTTCTGGGAAGGCCGATATCCCTGTCTCTGGGGATCCAAGCAGGCAGGTCCTGGATCTGTCCCTGAGCTGGAGGCGCGGAGTTCCTGGGTGGGAAGCCAAGGAGATCCAGGCAGGGCTTCCAGGCAATAATCCAAGGAGATCCGGAGTGGAATGTGCACCTCGCGGGACTGGAATTGGCAAGGGGGTTCAGGACCCAGGGCGAGCAGTTCACAAGCCAAGCGGAGGGCCGTGGCTCAGTGGCAGAGCCTCTGCTTGGCACGCAGAAGGTCCCAGGTTCAATCCCCGGCATCTCCAGTGAAAAAGGACCAGGCAGGAGGTGATGTGAAAGACCTCCGCCTGAGACCCTGGAGAGTGGCTGCCAGCCTGAGCGGACAACACTGACTTTGATGGACCGAGGGTCCGATTCGGCGTCCAATCTCTTCTTCTGCTTCTTCGAGGTTTGGTGTCGTGGTTTAGTGCGCGGACTCTAATCTGGGAGAACCAGGTTTGATTCCCCACTGCTCCACATGGAGCTGCTGGTGTGACCTTGGGTCAGTCACAAGTTTTTTTCAGCGCTGTTCTCTCAAGGGCAGTTCTCTCAGAGCTCTCTCAGCCCCACCTATCACAGGCAATGCTCCCTCTAAGCTGTGGAGTCTTGTGAGCAAAGATTCTACTTTTGTGAGCTGCCGGCATTAAAGTTGTGAGCAAGCGATTTGGGTACCGCATAAATTAAATCTGGAGCCCTCCTTCCTGAGCTGAGGCAAAAATGTGTGAGCCGGAGGCTAAAAAACTGTCAGCCAGCTTACACTAACTCAGCGTAGAGGGAACACTGCTCACAGGGTGTCCATTGTGGGGAGGGGAAGGGAAAGGAGTTTGTAAGCCGCTCTGAGACTCTGAGTGAAGGGCCATGGGGTATAAATCCAATCTCTTCTTTTACCTCACAGGGTGTCTGTGGTGGGGAG